AATGAAAATCTCACCGACCTAACAAATTCACAAAGACCTGAAAGTTGTAGCATTAAATATTATGATAGATATCGTGAGGAGACATTCACATATGGGACTAATAGAACAAGAACCCGGCAATGTGATGTTATAGTGGCCAGAATACGCCTGGGATATAGACGTATCTGGCAGCTTTCTCAAAACCCAAATGTCGAGTACACAATGTGTCAACTTTGTGAAAGAGAAAACATGCACTCTCTTGAACATTATATTGTAGAATGTCCCATACTGACTGACTTTCGCCCTCCTGGGCTGAGGTATGCTGAACTCTGTAGTTACTATATGAGTACCGGAACACTTGATGATATATTGGACTTGTATCCAAGATTGACCATGTAATATATCACTTATTCAATGTTATATTCAATATATCATTTATTCAATGTTATATGATGTAACTATATAACCTGAGCATGTAAAAGCACCTTCATCACCTTCAGTGATTAAGTGCTTAATTGCACACTAGTTTCTTTATCAGCTATCTCACCCTGTCAGAGTAAATGAGACAGATGTATGTGAATGCATGTGTGTGTATATGTATGTATATGTATGGGTATAAAGTATATATGGAAGCTGATCAGAATTATATTTCACCTTTGTGAATGTACATTAATGACACTATGTAAAAGACACATCAAACACTTTATGTAGGGCATACGTAAATCTGTGTATCTATGTATTTACGTATGTAGGTTAGCTTAGCATTTTAAAAGCACCGAATCACCTTCTGTGGTTGAGTGTTCAATAAACCCTTGAACTCTATGTTTAACATTTCTCTAACCCTGTCCATGGAGGACAGAAGAAAATGTATATATGCTGGTTAGCATTGTAAATGTGTGGCCACGTCTGTGGTAGAAAATAATAAAAAAAAATAAAAAAAAAATAAAAAAAAACTCATAATACTAGGATATATAATACTATAATATATACTATACTATATATACTAATACTATAATATATAATACTAGGCCTTATAACTAGGATAGGGGGGGGGGGGAGGAGGGGGGAGGGTAGACTGTTTACAATATATACGTTGGTTTACAGGAAGCGCGCTGGTTTAGCGTACTTTACACCGGGTGGTAAATATACAAGTGTTTCAGCGGGTGTGGAGCCAGGCGGGTGTGGAGCCAGGCGGGTGTTGTGTTTGTGTGTGTGGAGCGGGGATTAATGGTCCACCTGAGTGAGGACGGGGGGAGGAATGGGGGTTGGGGTGGGGGAGATGGGGAGAGAGAGAGAGAGAGAGAGAGAGAGAGAGAGAGAGAGAGAGAGAGAGAGAGAGAGAGAGAGAGAGAGAGAGAGAGAGAGAGAGAGAGAGAGAGAGATATGAACGCTTACGAACACCCACACACCCCACACAAACCCACCCCCACACACACACCCACACTTATATTCCTATTCTACCCTCAAACAAGCAATCCTGCACAGTACAGAGAGACCTAATCACCTCACAACGCTCAACACAGCCCACAAACAACCCAACCAACCAGGCAGTTAGCACGTCGTCTCTCCACCTCAACAAATCACCTCTCTCGTCATCTAGACGCAACCTAAATCGGAAACGCAGCCAAACAAAAACAAAAAACTGACAATCATAGGTCAGAAAGATCCAAGCCTGTTGTGGCCCCTTACTAGGTAATGGGAGCTGGGTAATGGGTAGTAGCCCATGAGGGTTGGGGGGGGGGCCAGGGTGGTGTTTATGGTAGAGGAGGGGAAATGGGGGAGGTTGTGTTGAGGGGAGGAATATTGCGAGTGAGGGGGATTGAGATGTTGTGGAAAGGGAGGTTATGGGAAAAAGACGGATTTTCTGTATTCTACCTCTACATTCTGCACAAATGAGATGCTGCTTTTGGACCCCCGCCTACTAGTAATGAGTCCGTGGTGCAATCTCTGAATGCTCTATAATACTCTAACGTCAAAGATCTTACAACTGTGATTGAAGATGGCCTCCACCTCATCTGTGCCAACAGCAGCTCTCTTTCTGGGTCCCCACAACTGTATTAATATTTTATCATGTCTGCCTGGTTCATTTGTGCTTGAAGTCTCCCCTGTTACCCCTCTGATTTGGTGGGCGGGTGTGTGTTTACAATTTATGCTTGCAGGATCGAGCTGTGTGTGTGTGTGTGTGTGTGTGTGTGTGTGTGTGTGTGTGTGCGCGCGTGTGTGTGTGTGTGTGTGTAGGCGCATTTATTTATGACGACATTGATAAAATTTGGTATATTTGCCAGGTCTCTCCGTTTGTGTGAGCCACAACAAACCCCTTTGATGTTGATTTAACTCATAACAACATATTCTCAAAAGGTCCGAATTGAGATTATCTCACGAGTGCGAAAATTGAACCAACTCATCGTCACCAATTTGCTAAAACAATTAACCTCAGATCTACCAGCCAACAATTCCAAAATGTCTCGTGTCGGAGCCTTCAGTTTTCAACACCTTTCCTCTCTTCAAAGAATATTAATAA